ACTGAAATACGGCAAACTACTTGCATATCAGCGTTATCAGCGGTAACTAGAAATATTATATACGTAACTAGAAATTTACGGTGAGTTTGTAATAGGTTTTCGTCAAAAATTTTCACTTTTTGATTTATAAACGTATTTCCATTCATTTGTGCAAATAGGAATCCTAAGAATTCGTTTATTTATTCATCAGAACTTCTTCAAAGTCAACTGCTGATCAAAGGCCTCCATAGCTTGCACTTATATAAAAGATTCTGAAGTGGCGCTTCATAACAGGACCGTGTTTTGTGGCATTGCATTTTAGGGAATATGCATGCTAAGCAGGGGACGTGTGATGGGCTGTAATTATCAAAATTTCACTGAACATAGACCTGCCCCATAGTTTGTCTAACAAGGGTTTGCCATAGTGACGACGCTTGGCAGGCAGGTAGGCAAACCCATTTTTTTATTATTTTAAGTTCTTATCAGAAAGATGATGCTACTGCCAATCTCCTATTTCATTTCTCACTGTCGTCTCTTACGACACACACGAAATGATATTATGTGGTATTGGATTCTCTTACACCGCGACTATGCGGCTACTATACGGCTACTATACGACTACTATACGGCTACTATACGGCGAGTACACTACATTGATTCATCATTAATAACACGTTGGAAATCTTAGCACTGAAACACGCAATGGCAACATTACTCTTAGAACTTACATTAGAAAAGTGAAAATTTGTTAATTATACTTACATACTTAGTAAAATGAATTTCTGCAATCATTATCATTATCATTACAGCCCATCACAAGTCCACTGCTGATCATAGGCTTCTCCCAATTAATGCCACAAAACACGGTCCACAGTAAATTTAAGCTTAAGATAACTCAATAAGCTATGGCCAGAGCTAAGCTCATAGTTTCTCTAGGAAAATATCTACAACAGTACTACTGTAACAAACAAAGCCCAAAGGATGGGCAAGGTGAAATGACAATGGATCGGCTATATAGCTCTAAGAACCGACAACTAATGGGAAAGGTTTTCAAGTAGCAGCCTGCTGCCGGTAAACGAAGAGTAGGAAGGCCTCTACTAGATGAAGATATCACATAGTAAGACAAGTGGAAGTTCCCTCAAATTATTTTTTATATAACAATGTTGAAAACGAGCACACAGTCCAAACAACGACAAGAGAATGCTGTAGTTCATAGACATTCGTGATTAAGAATCACAATGCAGATGTGTTTTTACACATGAGAACTAAAATAGAACGCCCCGTTTCTAGTAAAAAGGGTTTTCGGTTATCTACTCGTATACTCAACATGAAACACATCAGAATTGAGCTATTGTTACGCTAGTATCCTGCGAGAGCGTAGTCCTTTTTCGATCAAGTCTCTTTCGTGCTACAACCATTCATCGTGGCTCTACCACGTAGACGCAATAAACATTTTTTTTATTTGTAACCCATTAGTAAAGCCCAAACCACACTGACTATATCCATACATAGTACTCGTATAACTACAAAAATAACAAATCTCCACTGATGTAATAAAAACATAAAAGTGATAAGAGTGACACACTAAATTATTCAAACAAAAAAGGCCAAAAATTCTACTACTAGAGCTAAATCAAATTTTTCATGAAATTTTTAATATAGATAATACAAGAAGGGGTTATTTCAACGTTTTAATAAAAATATTATTAAAACATAAAATCCCGACTGCTGATCCCAGTTTACCTAACAAGATTGTTATAAATATATTTAAATGAGATCCGTGTACTTCTGATTCTACTCGACGCTCTAAACACTATCTACTACTACTATTTGCCCAAGGTAAATGTACTCGTCAACGAGTTCGAGCTTAGTGCTCCAATCAACGATCGGCGTAGGTGTAACATGGACATTAAACATGATCTTTGTTTTGTCCACGTTCATCTTAAGACCTATCCGTTGGGAGACACTATTGAGGTCATTGAGCATAGTGCTTAGATCTTAGATCCACCAGCGATTCTGCCATAAGGACGACATAAAAACCGCGGTTGCCACCCAGTTTTTATGTTGTATAATTGTTGTTATCAGGAAGATGCCCATCTCCTACCTGTTTTCCTCTGTCGCTTTTTACGACACCCACGGAAAGATATGGGGTAGTGGATATTCTAAACCACCACTACATGGCTTAGTAAGCTGAAGTGGCGTTGGGCCGGCCGTATGGTTCGAAGAACCGACAACCGATGGCGAAAAAAGTTTCTTTAGTGGCAGCCTCGTACCAGTAGGCGTTGTGTGAGGCGCCCCCACTAGATGGAGTGACGACCTGATAAGACAGGCAGGAAGTCGATGAATGCAGGTGGCTCAGGACCATGCTTTGTGGCATTACTTGGGGTAGGCCAATGTTCAATAGTGGACTTATGAGGGGCTGTAATGGTGATGATAATGATGACATACATACATATTGCTTTATTGATTCATTCAGTCATTACAGCCCATTTAAAGTATAACGGCTGAATATAGGCCTCGCATGCAGGTTCATTTTTTTTCTTTACTATCACCCGTATAAACCCGCTGCTCGGCAGGCCTCTTGTTGTATGGAGGACTTGCCTTGATCACTTACAATGGGAAAGGTGGCTGTCTCTGGCCTTAAACTTGTTGACGACGACGAAGAAGAAAAAAATACAAAGTTCATAAACACTCAAGCCTGTCACCCAGAGGGGTAGGCAGAGACTACAGACTTCCATTTGCCACGACTGCAACTCTCTCGCTCTTCACACCTACGCAAATAAAAGTTTTTAAGGAAAGGTATTTTTGCGATTTCTGATATTTTTAGTACTCTAACCTTAGTCGATCCAATGGAGACTTTTGGATTTTATGAGAAACTGGATCGATTGGCGTTATAAAAAGTTTTTGTGTAAATTGCCAATTTTCTTGCTAACGATACATTTTTCCAAAATCTATGAATGCAAATCTAATTATGGGTTTAAGTTTGTCTAAAAACATTTTCCTGTATCCGTTTACTGCCCCATCTCAAAAATTCACCCTTTATACGTAATGTAGTCCAAGTCTCCTCCATACATCCTCCATCATAAAAGTTAGGAAATTAGTAAAACTGCGGAAGTGAATTTCATATACTTGCTACATTTTACGTAAATATTGAATTAGAACCTAATTATTAAAGTAACCTAATTATTTAGGCAAGTCTCAGCGTATTAGGTACTAAAAGCCACTCTATGAACATTGGACATAAAACTTCATAGGAGTACTTGAACTTGCGAAAGTAAATCTATTACTATAGCCACTGCTGATGAAACCTCGATTAGACAGTATTCCCAGAAATTCCAGAAATCCCAAATTAAAGCTATTGTCGATGCAGTGAACCGAAGAAGTTATGAAAGAAGGAAATTGTTAAAAAGTCAGTTTTAACACTAATATTGGGTGCGTTTGGCAGAAAAAAGCGCTAGCAAGCGCTTACAAGCGCTGAAACAGTTTTCGGCCAGGACACGATTGATACTTCAGTAGCGCTGACACAATCCGCCATTTTGCTTATTTAATTTGTTTGTTTTGAAGTAGAGTTTATAAGTTGTTTTGTGCAATATTAGCTGTAAGTAATATATTGACATGAATAAACATATACTTATATGTTATTAAAAATTCATGATCGGTAAGTTTTTAATATGAATACTTTACAAACATGTATTTAAATTAGGTTAGGTTCCCCGGTTAAAACTAACATCGTGTCCTGGAGGAAAATAGCTACTTACGATTTTCCAGCGCTTACCGCTTACGATCGCCATTTTGCTTACAAGCGCTTGCTAGCGCTTTTTTTCTGCCAGACGCACCCATTGACTAAATGCTAACAAACTATTAAATAAAATGGTGTGTAAAGAGCCCTTCAAACTAGGTAAGACACATTCATTTTACCTTACTTTACGCGAATAAATTTTTTACATAATTAATTTATTGGATTTTGCAAAGTAACGCCTCATTCTATTAATTATCCTAAAAGCTTCTATTTGTTAAATGTTTATCTACCAACTTATTATGTATACCACAACTTCATCTAGAACCTTCTTGGGTTCCTAGAATCCATTAATTCTATTTTCATAATAATGTCAAAATATTATAGTACTATATCTTCTAAACTCAACACTTTACTTCTTTTCTAAAACTCGAAGTTTCAAAGCTATTAAGAACTTTGTGTAGTATACCTTATTTAAATGTAATACACAACTTTATGAAAAGTTTCATCGTGATCTTTTATATTATGATTGTAGCATGAGTGGGTCGACTCGACCGTGGAAGGACCACGCTCTCACAGAATACCATCGTAAAATAGCAGCTTAATATTGCTGTGTTTCGTATAGTGAGTATAGAGAACCGGAGACCCGTTTTACTGGAATCGAGGCATTCCATCTTAGTCCTCAAGGGTGACAACGCATCTGCATTTTGACTTTTAATCGAGGTTAAATGTAGATATCTATGGGCATCACAGCATCCACTTACCATCAGGTGGACTGTGTGCTCGTTTGTCACCCTAACCCTATAAAAAAATCTAAGAATCAAAATGGAGATGCGTTTTCCTCAGACTAAGATGGAATGCCACGTTTATTGTAAAAAAGGTTCTCCGGTTCTTTTCACTCACCATACGAAATAAAGCAGCATTAAGCAGCTGTTTCACGCTGGTATTCTGTTTGAGCATGGTCCTTCCCCGGTCGTACCGTCTCGTTCGTGCTTCAGCCATAATATAACAGCATAGCTCTACCACGTATTAATAAATAATAATACATGGTTATAATAAAACGTTTTAAAAAATATTCAAGAGGCATATCGCACAATAATTGGTCGTATAGGTCATCGACTGCTCTTCATTTCATTCATTGTACGGGCGCGTGCGCCGTTTATGCGACAGTATTATCCCGACTACAATATAAATAGGACGTTTTTGTTACTTAAATACTTTGTTAATTGTTGTTTTTGTGTTGCCATTGAGTTTGATTACAGACTGTGAAAATTATATCACTGTGATGGCCGCCGGACTGGGTTTTAAAGTGATTCTAGTGACGCTGGGATTATTTTTGGGTAGGTAAATCTCAATATACATACATACATATACATAAATACTCACGCCTGTCACCGAGAAGGGCAGGCAGAGAATATGGACTTCCATTTGGCACGATCCTGACACAACTCTTTCACCTCCATTACGTTCATATGCCAATATACGTAGGTTGTACTAGGTGTACTTGTCGGTTAATGGTTCTCTTAATCTGGCCCACTTTCAAAATATATCGCCAATTTGTTCGATTAACTTTCGACTATCGATATATTTCGGGTATCCCTTCAAATCTCAATATCCATCGCCTTATTGGTAAGAACTTGAACTGTGCCAGTAAAGTCTTGTGACTCTTATAGATAAAATTATATTAAAATATTTAACCCAACAAAATAAACAAGATGCCTCGTTTCGTTTCTGCACTCACCATACGAAACACAGCAGCATTAAGCTGCTATTTTACGGTGATATTTAGTGAGAGCGTGGTTCTTCCCCGGCCGAGCCTATTTATACTACAACCATATTTGTGCTACAACCATAATATAGCTGCAACATGGCTCTAGCATGTATAAATTAGTTTGCTGTTTCAGTTTTCTTCTGTCCACTTTTATGACACAAATGGGACATTAAGAAGTAGTGAATATTCTTACACCTCCACTACACAGTGTATAATACCTCTAATAGGCTAAACTATTTACCATTTAATATATTTCCTATTTATGACCACTAGATGGAGGTAGGACCGCTTGTTGGAGCTTTTAACAGCCAGTAGGTAGTCCTTCGTTGGAAATTTTGAGCGCAATTAAAATAAGCTTAAATAATTTTTATTAGTCTCAGATTAGCAAAATTGTGTACTCATTTATAACATTATTATAAAACAGTTAAAGTTACAGCCTATATACGTTCCATTGCTGGGCTTATGCCTCCTCTCATTTTGAAGAGGGTTTTAGGGCAAGGAAGTGTCACATGTCCTCGAATTTTTTTTTATATATCAGACATGGAGGTTTCCTCACGTCGTTTCCGTTCAGTTCACCATCGTGCACCCGGTACATCAGCACATAAAATTGCCATTAATTGTTCTTGGTGCTGGCGGTGTTTGAAACCGGTTTGCTCGCGTACTGCGTAATTTATTATATATATATATATATATATATATATATATATTTATATATATATATATATATATATATATATATATATATATATATATATATATATATATATATATATATATATATATATATATATATATATATATATATATATATATATATATATACGACGGTCGTTAAAAGCGAAACGTCTTTGTTCATTTTATGAAAAATATAATATTTTGCACGTGAACCAACATGGCTTTAGGAAAAACCACTCCACTACCTTAGCAATTTATAAATATGTAAAAAGCATCCTAGACAAAATCGACGATAAAAAAATCGCAGTAGGCCTCTTGCTCGATATGAGTAAAGCCTATGACAGAGTCTGTTATAGAACTCTATTGGAAAAACTGTATCAAACAGGAATTAGGGGAATAGCTCATAATTGGTTCAAATCCTATCTTGATAACCGCTTCCAATATGTAGAAATTGAAAATACCAACTTCGAGACAGGCAAAATTACTCATGTCAGATCGGATGCAACTCTCATTTCTGGCTCTATCCCTCAAGGTAGCGTTTTGGGTTGTATTTTGTTTCTTATTTACATAAATGATCTACCAAACATACTGGACGATCTATGCGTGCTCTTTGCAGATGACATCTCCATATTAATCTCTTGCACTAATTCCACAGATTTAACTATAAAATTGAGCTATACATTAGATAAAATTACTGGCTGGCTACAATTACATAATTTACAACTTAACCTTAATAAAACTAAAATTATTCAATTTAAACCCTACCAAAAAACTGGTTTACAAATATCGTTTAACTATAAAAATACAAAACTAGAAACTGTTAACTCTGGCACTTTGTTAGGAATAGACCTGGACACACATTTGAGTTGGAAACAGCACGTACAAAAAGTTGCAAAAAAAATATCCTCATTTATTTATGCACTGCAACACCTTAAACGTGTGACAGATTTTAAGACTGCCCTTGCGGCTTACTATGCACATGCTCACTCCGTACTCTCCTATGACATCATCTTGTGGGGAAACTCTTGTGATATAAACAAATTATTTATATTACAAAAGAAGTGTCTACGAATATTGATAAATTTGGACAAAATGGAGTCATATAAACCCCACTTCATTAAAAATAAGATTTTGACACTTACATCTATCTACATCCTCGAATCTTGTAAATTTGTTAGGAAGCACCCAAAACTCTACTCACCTATTAAAAAGACTAAAAGAAATAATAGAAATTTATATAAGCTTAAGATACCCTTCTCCAAATTAAAATTAGTTTCAAACAGCCCTCACGTTATGTCAATAAAGATTTATAACCATTTACCAAATTCCATAAAAATCCTGGAAAATCCTGTGCAATTTAATAAACAATTAAAAATATTTCTTATTAATAAATGTTACTATAATTTAAATGAATTTTTTGACGATAAATAACGATAAAGTAAGAATACTTAGACTATTCATTGTGTTTCAAATTAAATTAATTTATATAAAATAATATTGAATGTTGATGATATGATAATTTGTAATTTATGTTTAAAAATTAGATAATACGAAAATAGTTAGCCCTCTAGTGTTGCTATGCCCTTGCGGGGCGTCACATGTATACCGATCAAAATTGTACCATCTTAAATTTGTAATGTGACATGCAATAAACAATTTGAATTTGAATTTGAATTTGAATTTGAATTTGAAAGCGATATGGTGCTTAATTGCAACGAGTCCTGATTAACAAGGAATTTAGTAATAGGTCATTATTTTTTTTTTAAATTATTTACCTCGCATTTAGTATTTTCAATTTAAATTTTTATTAGTAGTGGTGACGTATGAGAATCCATCACATTTCATAAGTGAATGTCGTTCTTTTTTTAAAGAATATGGTGACAAACAAGCACACAGTCCTCCCGATGGTAAGCGGTTGCTGTGGCATGGGCGACCTTTAACTTTTTTAGTGATGTCTATATTGTTGCACCCGTGAGGACCAAGATGGAATGCCTCGTTTCCAGTAAAAAGGGTCTCCAGTTCTCTACGCTCACCATACGAAAGACAGCAACATTAAGCTTACGCTAGTATTCTGTGAGAGCGTGGTCCTTCTCCGGTCGAGCCGACTCATTCGTGCTACAACTGAACTACTAATATAACTGCGGCATGGCTCTACCACGTATATAAAAAAGAAGCGACTAAGGAATATGCCAAAAATATCTTGTGGTTTCTGATAGATGGCGCAATAACCACTCGTTTATGCGGGACGTAAAACTCGCAGATCGGCGACGGGAAGCAGCGCCAGTGTTGTGAAGCGTCTGGCACTGTGATTCTCAATCCTCCTGTAAAGGGTAACGGATCAAGATCATCCTACATCTAACAACATTAAGAATTAAAATATAGACGAGTTGTCACCCTTGAGTAATAAGATTGATTGCCTCTTTAAGCAGGAAGGGTCTCTACACTCACCATACGAAACACAGCAATATCCTGCTGTTTTATGCTGATAGTCTGTGAGTTTCTGGATGCTATTGCTGTTAGTCTATGCGACTCTTACAGCTTCATCTGACTCAAGGTTCGCGCGAGCTAATTAAAAAGAGAAAGGCAATGACGTGAGGATGATGATGAATGGTTTACGATTTGGTATTGTTACCAATTATCATGTCGCCTTTTTAGGCGTATTTGAGCTATCTAACCGCTGTCCGAGTGCGGACCCCCGTCTCTAACTGCTCAGCTCGTGTCGGGCGATGGTCTGGGCGGTGAGAACCATCCAGAAACGCGGGTGTGTGGTGTGTGCTGGAGCGCGTCGTGCCCGTCTACGGGTGCGACGCGCCCCATTTGTAATCCTACCAGTGTTTGTCCCATTTAGTGTGGGTGTAGTGACATTATGTGATGTGCCTGCGACGTTTGGGTCGACTGGATCGAGCGGTTGTGAGTCTGTGAGAGCATGATTTTACCCTGGTCGAGCCGACCCATTCTTACATTAGTGCCATAGCTAATACATACATAAAAAGATGATTTAAAAACATGTGACGCAAGATGCCCATGTTCAGTAGTGAACATATACGTTCTGATAAAAAGAAGAAGTATGTCCTTCCACACCTCACATCATCACATGATCACTTATATTTGTTTATGTAACAAAGCCTACGTTAGGCAAGTTAAATAAAATATAAAAGTTAGTGCGGTTGAAATATAAGGTACTCTACATATGGTATTTATAAGTACTACAAGTTTCTTGACATTTACGATCATGATCGATGGCAACAGTTCTTTATCCACTTTACGTAAGTAACGTTTAAAGGAAAACTTATTTATTTGTGTAAGTACTTTGACACTCTCATCGATATTCCTTTCATCTACTTAAATAAAACGAGGATATTTTCTTTTCCTATCTACATAATATAACGGAATAGGGTCGAAGAAAAATGTAACACTTAATCGACTCCAAAAAAGAGAAAGTATTCAATTTGACTGTGTTTATTTTTTATTCAAGTTGTGCCATATCTTCGCCGATTAAGAACCGGTTTTTTTTTTTTTGTTAAATACCTCAAGGGTATTCCAATTGTAAGTTGAAGATAAACTTCTATTCTTAAGATTATGAAGTTAAGCTAGTGATATTCCTTGATTCATTTAAAAGGGTGAAAAAGTTTAAATGATAATAAAAGTATAATCCAACTTTCACAGAACTAAAAAACCATATAATATCCTCTGAAGACGTGGGAGAGCCACGCTGCACCTAAATTATGGATATAGCACGAATGGGTCGGCTCGAACAGGGGAGGACCACGGTCTCACAGAATACCACCGTAAAATAGCAGCTTAATACTGCTGTGTTTCGTATGAGTGTAGGGATTAGGAGACCCTTTTTTACTGGAAACGAGGCATTCCAACTTAGTCCTCAGGGGTGACAAT